CACCTCAAGGTCGTGTCACTCTAGACATAAGTGATACATATTAATTGTCTCACTCATCCCATACTATGCCATGGGCACGCCATCCCTGTAGCATCACTTACCTAGGGTCGTCTCATCCCTGGTCATATGTGTGAGGAACCACAATCACATCACAATCACAATCATCACAAATCTTACAATTAACACTATGCCAATGGTCACGCCATCTCAAGGTCGTGTCACTCTAGACATAAGTGATACGTGTTAATTATCTCACTCATCCCACACTATGTCAGGGGCACGCCATCCCTGTAGCATCACTTACCCAGGGTCGTCTCATCCTTGGTCATATGTGTGAGGAACCACAGTCACATCACAATCACAATCATCACAAATCTTATAATTAACACTATGTCAATGGTCACGCCATCTCAAGGTCGTGCCACTCTAGAAATAAGTGATACGTGTTAATTGTCTCACTCATCCCACACTATACCAAGGGCACGCCATCCTTGTAGCATCACTTACCTAAGGTCGTCTCATTCCATATCTAGATCATCAATTTTACCAAATAATGTAACAATAATATTTATAAATTAATATAAAACCTAATAGAATCATCAATTTAGTAGAATCTTAACTCAAATAGTAAAACCCCTAATTTTTCCCAAAACCTAATTCACAGACACTTTTCTACAATTCGTTATCTCTCCCAGATCATCATTTTTACAAATTAGTATATATTCATAATCCTAAACACATACAAAATCTCATAATACTAATAATTCTCCAAACAAAAACAATTATAAAATTATTAAAAATTCCATAGGAACTCTTCTCCACCCATTCCCTCATGTAACTCTACACATAAATCTCCCATTTTTCCTCGTACCTCGATAAGCAGAAACTAGAGCAGGATCTGGTTGGTCTCCTCCTCTGGGTTTCCCTCGATCTTCAGAGAATGTAGAAGGAAAAGAAGTCAGAATTGAAAGGTGTGCTTTTTGGGAGTGCCAGAAAGCTCTGTTTATAGGCATCAGGAGTGACAGGAACGACCCGTTTCAAATTCGGAATAGCCCGTTCTAGACTCCTCGCCATGTGTAAAATTTCACATCCAGAACGACCTGTTCTAAAACCATAACAGTCCATTCTGGGGTTACATTTTAACCCAGCCATGTTTGGAACGACCCGTTCTTAAACCAGAACGGCCCGTTCCCAACTAGGGTTACAAGCTTTTTTGGTAATTTGAAACACCCCGTTCTAGTTGGGAACGTCCCGTTCTCAACAAAGATTTGTAGGCAATTTTAGTAGTTTGGAATGGCCCGTTCCAGTTTGGGAACAACCCGTTCTAGGCTACTAAATCACCTTTATTAGGCTTTGGGCCTTTGTACAATCTGTAAAAATCGGGCTGTTACACATAAAGAAAAGAAAAAGATGAAAAATTCACTTGGAAATTCTTGAAGCACTTGAAAAGTCACTTCAAACAATCCTTCAAAATCTGATGGTTTGGATGAGGTTGTTTTATGAATTTGGTATTTATAGATAACACTAAAAAATCTTTCAAAATCCCTTTAATATAACAATCCTTTAAAATTCTTGTATTTTTGAATACCACTGGATTATTTTTAAGTTGTAAAAAATCTCAAATGAATACCAATAGATTTTAATGGACTCTTTAAAAAATCTTGAAAATCCAAATTGAATACCACTGGATTGTTTTTAAATGACATAAAATCCTGATTGAATACCAACGAACTTTTTTACTTAAAAAAAGTCTTTTAAAATCCTATAAAATCCTAAATCAATACGCCTCTCTTAAGTATTATTCAAACAATTTAACTTTAAGTTTAACACAAATTATTTGGGTGTAACTATTTAACTATGGACTCAATTGAGATTTTTTATTCAATTTTTTCCCATGAAGAGAGTTTTCTAAAACTATTGAACTCCCAGACTTAAGAATATCCTATTTTCACACAATTCACAAGATTCAACCAGTAATAAATATTTTTTTTATATAGTAATGATGGTTATAGATTGTAGGTTAAATACTTCTTTTGGTCCCTTACAATGTTTTTTTGTTTCAATTTAGTCCCACTTTAATTTTTGGTCTCAATTTGGTCCCCAATAACTTAAATTAGTGCAATTTGGGACTTCTGTCCAAATGATTTAGACGGAGTTAACTGTTGGCCACGTGGCATCTACGTGGATGCCACGTGGCATCTACGTGGATGCCACGTGGATGCGCACGTGGACGCCAAAATTTTTGAAAAAACCTGAATTCAGAACGGCCCGTTCTAAAAGCAGAACGGCCCGTTCCAGAACGCCATGCTTTTTATTATATTTTTTTTATTATATCTATATTAATAAATATATAATAAATATAAAATACAATAAATTAATATTCATTTATGAGTAAAACTAAAAAAAAATCAAATAAGATAAGACCTTCCAAAATATTTCTTTGATTTGAATTTATCCAGTTCAAAATCTTGACTAAAATACCGCAATGTATTTCAAAAATTAAAAATAAAATTCAGGATTTAGGGGTACCTCCTCAAGAACAGGTTGTTATTGTTGGGGTACATCGTCAATGACTTTAAGGAAAAACACTGTTTCTTTTTATCCTTGACTGTATAGTGTCAATTTGGTAGTAAGTGGTTCACTCCAGTTTGACTAATAATGAAATAAAACTTGTTACCATTGTCCTTAGTGATACACTGCATCATCCTTAATGATATACTGTATAGCCCAAATGTTTAGCAATTGAAGTTATTAATTCTCATTAACAATATTACTAAATCTAGTGTTTGAAATGCTTTGTATTTTTCCTAAAAAAAATGTTTTGTATTTTGGTTTTTTTTGTGCACGAAATTCTGGACCAGAACGACCGTTCTGAAACCAGAACGACCCGTTCTGGTTATACTGTTGATGTGTTAATTTTGGACCTGGAACGACCCGATCCAGGTGCAAATTTTACACACCAATAATGTAACTAGAACGGGCCGTTCTGGTTTCAGAACGGACCGTTCTTGTTCGGGTGTATTCAAGTATTTTTGGATCCAACTACGTGGCATCCACCTGGCATCCACGTGGCCACCAGTTAACTCCGTTTAAATTATTTAGACGGAAGTTCCAAATTAGAACGATTTAAATTATTAGGAACCAAATTGAGACCAAAAATTAAAGTGGGACTAAATTGAAACAAAAAAAAAAAATATTTAACATGGATTGTATTAACAGAAAAATGGTGGAAAGAAAGAATGTATACTGTATATGACATTGAGTGAAGAGAGTATTTGTATGTGTGATCTAGAGTGGAAACAAATTGAATTTGAGTTTGGGATGTATGATCGTTGTTTGGAGCAAGCCCTTAGAAGATCGTGGCGTTTAGGGCGAGATCTCTGAAACCCTAACCAATGGTGGGACCGAAACGGCACTTCCTCCCACTGATCCTCGTCTCCCTCGCCGCTTTCATCTTCTACACCCTCCACCACTCCTCTCTCCCACTCGACATACCCGAATCCAACCTCACTTCCACTTTCCCCAACCCCATGCCAACCCAATCCCCCAATTTCACCTTCCTCATCAACGTCCTCGCCTTCAACCGCCTCGCCGCCGTCTCCCGCTGCCTCCGCTCCCTCGCCGCCGCCGACTACCTCGGCGACCGCGTCCACCTCCACCTCCACATCGACCACTTCGCCCCCGACAACGCCTCCTCCCTCGACGCCAAGCTCCGCGAGTCGCACCGGATTCTGGACTTCGTCGATGGCTTCGATTGGAAGTTCGGCGAGAAAGTCGTGCATTACAGGACCGCCAATGTGGGCCTCCAGGCCCAGTGGTTGGAGGCCTGGTGGCCCGCTTCCGACCACGAGTTCGCCTTCGTCGTCGAGGATGATCTCGAGGTTTCCTCGCTTTACTATGAGTTCGTTAAGACGTTGATTATCAATTTCTATTACGATGCCTCCAATTATAGCCCTTCCATCTATGGGGTTTCGCTGCAACGACCAAGGTTTGTTCCAGGTACCATTTTCTCTTGTTTGTTTTTTGTTTATTATCAATCAGACAAGGTGTTTGAACTTCAGAACAGAGCATATTGAGAAACTGAGCTTTGGGTGACAAAATCAGTTGAGAGTGTCTTGTGTGATTAGACATTAGACCATATGGAGAGTGTAGAACTCATGTTTATTTTCTTCCAAGTTGCACAACCCAACCCAACCCAACCTAAAACTTTGCATATCTGGGCATCTAGAATATGAGCCAACCCCACAAGTTTATGAGTAACTCCGATGATCCTACTCTGATCCCACCAACTTGCGTTCTTAGGTGTGAAGGGCATCGGAAATGGCTAGAAATTAGTAGGACCATACAATTCCTTCAAGTATAGTTGTGGTCTTGACAACAATGGATACAAAGTTGTACTCTGCTTATTCATTACATGTGTAAAGTTTATTGATGATATAATTGGTTTCTGGCGTTAGGGAAGCATGGAAACAAATTACAGTTGGATGACCAAACACGACTTTTCTTATACCAGTTAGTTGGCACATGGGGTCAAATTCTCTTTCCAAGGCCATGGAAAGAGTTCAGGTTGTGGTATGACGAGAACAAAGCAAAGGGCAATAAGCCATTTCTTGAGGGCATGGTAATAATATGGTTTTAAAGAAAAACGTTTCTTGTTCTTTCCTCACAGCTAATTCTCAGTTTTGTTCTTTTATATATATCAGCAGTTCAGTTCATTCCTAATTTTAGTTCTGAAAATTTGTCCAGGTGACTACAGGATGGTATAAGAAAATGGGAGAGAGGATTTGGACACCTTGGTTCATAAAGTTTATTCAATCCCGTGGTTATTTTAATATCTACACAAATCTTCTGCATGAGAGAGCATTAAGTGTTTCTCACAGAGATGCTGGAGTAAACTATGGGAAAACTGCTGGACCTGATTCTAAATTGCTAGAGGAAAGATCTCTGGACTTCAATATTTTGGAAATGCAACCATTGAGTAGTTTAAAATGGTTTGATTTTTGTTTCAGAGAAGTACATCCTGGAAAGATTGTCACTAACCTGGAAGAGCTTGGATCGTTGCTTCACTCTCTGCAGAAACGGGATAGTGTCTTCTTGGTAAATCTTTTTGGGGTATCGGATGCTATAACAAGAAACTTACTATGCCACTTTGAGAGGCTAGATATCAGGAATTATATACTTATGGGCCCTCCATCCGACTCCTTATTTGATCTGGCAAGGAGGGGGCATCCTGTAATTAATGTTGACCAATTTATAAATAGTGTTGGATTGTATAAATTCACTTCACAAGGTTCGAGTTTTGATACCATGAAGGGTATTTTGGCAAAGACTTATGTAATTAAGAAGTGTATCGAGAATAGGTATAACACGTGGGTTATGGATGGGAGCATGCTTCTCACTTCAGACCTCTTGTCTGATTCTGGAGATCCCAATAATGACTTCTTTGTTGCAAACAACTTTGAACTCTTCTATGCTAAAAGTTCATCTTCTAGTGAGAAACTCTGGGTTGATGGCTTTGTGTCAAAGGTTGTAGCCACGACAGAGTCTTTGGCAGGAAAAGATTCACCAACCCATGGTAGGTTAAGCTTTGTGTATATTGTAACAAAATTATTGGAGCAGAATGGTGCGAGGATTACAAGAGTTGATGAGACTTCTTTTGGCACGAAGATTGGCTCTGGTAATGTGAGTGAATCTTCGCTTCGGGATAAAAAGTTGGTATATTGGTCAACTGAGATGGAGCTGGATTCAATTCAGAAATGGCTCAAAGAGTTGAATTTGTGGAGCATAGACGGTGATTTGTCTTGCACCGCGGTGGTCTGTCACAAATCATAGCATTTTATGGCGGCTAGTTTTTTTTATATCTTTTTTATTTTTATTTATATTTTTTAATTTGCTACTACTATTTTTGACTTTTTGAATGCCAACTTAGCTTACATATTCTTTTTACCCATTTTGTACCATCATTTGTAACAATTCAATTCACCCAATCACCAGCTGCACTACTGTTTAACAGAAATGCTTGTAAGGACAACAAAAATATTAGATTAGCTGCTGCTATGGGTGCTAATCATCGCACATTGAATGATAAATTGCGAGTGTTAACGTATTCAGTTTTACATGAAGAGGGTTAGTACACAATCTGTAGTAATGTAACTGCATAGCTTCATTGACTTAAAAAAATAAAAGTTCAAACCTGAGACAGAACAAGCAACATTCTTAATCCACATCATCATGTGCAAATTCATGTTCTAAAAGGTAGGTCTCATAATGTCTTTTCGGGGTATTTCCAACACCCTGTAGATTAAGACAAAAAAATTTTTTTACATGATAAACAAACATCCAGTCATCACATAAATTCTACATTATTTAAAGAACTTCTTATCGGTGCAATTTAACTTCTCTATATCTTTATCCAAACAATTCCTCTGCTATATCTAACAATGTTTTGAAGAATGTATAACAGAGGTAAAGCTAACCCATGTCCAACATATGACTATCAGTAATTACACCAACGCATAGGTAAAAGGCCCAACCCAGAAAAATAAACTAATTGCACCATGTTTAGTTTCTGTAATGATGAATAGAACAGATTACTGTAGAAGAAAGTACAAATTTCAGGTTCTGATGAAGGTTTTTTAAGGTAGGGTGCAACCCGTGCAAGCAACAAACAGCTTTGGGGACCAAATGATAACACGAACAAAGAACTGGCCAGATGTGTGCACGTAATCTACTTTATCCATATACAGGAGAGAAGAGATGCTTATAGTATCACCAATATATATGTAGAATCATTTACTCTGAGTATTATATAAATCATTAAAATGCCTGCTCTGCTATCTGGAATTCTACTTGTTGAAGATTCATAGACTCTAAAAGACCCAGAAGATGTCGATTAGTGTTAATTTAATTAACAAAATTTTGAGTCCTAACGATTCTTTGGGAGGGTAAAAAATAGAGATAGTAAAGCTTTTATAGAGTCCTAAAGTCTCAATAATCAAGTCTTTGTAGCAGCTCAGCTTCTCACTAAGTTATTATAGTTAATCAGGAATTCATTAGTGTTTGAGAGTTGAAAATTTTCACATTGAGAGAGGAAAACCCATGCATTGTCAATCAGTGAATCTCAATTTTAAAGTTTAAAGTGGAATTCAGAGTCAATATAACACATAAAAATCAACTAGTACTGAAGGTGGAGATATGGCCAAGGCATAAACATACGGTCATTGTATTTGTTGTAGTGTAATTGCACATCTTTAGTTTTTACCCATTTAGTATTATCATTTGTAACAAAAAATGAAGTTGTGAATGAGAGGCTCAAGACATGCATTTTCTCTCTCACTCGCTTTGTCTCTGCTGTTGCATGGTGTTTGTTGAGGTTGGAGCGGACGGAGTTGTTGAAAGTGGTGCCATTATCAACATTCAACATGATGGGGACTTACACTTACCAAATTGCTAAGAGTATGTGGCTGCTGAAAGCTACAAACAAGGTATCCATCCAAGGTTGAGCTTCAATGTTCTGCGCAGGATTATACTCCATCAGATGTTACTTGTTACTGATCAACTCATCCAGCTATACTTATACAATTTTATTCCAATTCTTATTAATTTGTTGGCCTCCCTTCAAGATTGTGTCTTGTGACATGTACATGCATTGTAACTGGGGATCTATGAAACTCACGCTCTAAAAATGTAACAAGTGTTAGTATTGGACACGTATCTCATATGTCTCGTACTCGTATGCTCTGTTACATATCCCAAAAATAGCATCCATTAATTTTTCAGAAAAATAAATTACCGCTAAAATAATACTAAGATACTACTCGAGATACGCCTTCATACTTGCTACAGTTTTTTCTTTTTTTGGTTATATCTAACTTGGCCAGGAAATTGTATATTTTGTGGCATCATCATTGTTGAAAAAATATATTTTGAAAATATGTAATGATGCTGACCAATTACATGAGTATCCTTTCAGTAAATTGTGATCGTGTAATGACTACAAATAAATTTATATGTTAATCAGAAATTAGTAATATAAATATATTTCTCTAGTTTCATGTGGAAAGAAAAAACAATCGTTCACGCTAAAAAAATTTAATTAACATTATTTTATTTCACTAATCTCATTTGAAAATAGATTATTTCTCTAAAATTAACCTTTATTGGAATATTATTTATCAGAATTCATATCAAGAATAAAAATAAATCATTGGACATTAATTTGAAATAAATATTTTTAATAATAAATAACATAACTTTAAACTTAACTTATCAAAATAATTTTAAAAAATTAAGATAGTTCAATTAAATCTACAACTTAAAATTAAGACATACAACTAGCTAAGTCTCTTTATTTTTATTTGTGAAAATTTGTGATTGAATCTATTTTTTTTCTTCTTAATTTTATATTCTTTTATATGAACTTATATTGTGAATAAAATAAATAATTCATAATTTCACTGAAAATCTAAAAAAAAAAACTTGATAATTGACTTTGACTTTACATAAGTTATGTATTACTTTAATGATTAAAATTTTTATGATAAAAACAAAGAAAGTCGAATAATACGTGACCACTTAAGAATCATAAAACCAAAGCTCGATAATGAATCATCCATTTGAGATTAGGTAATAAGAAAAGCGAATAGAACAAGGAATTAATTAAGGCATGTTGTCCTTAGGAGTTTACATGAATCTATTCCCCAAGAGTACATGTTTTTCCAACTTGTTTAGTATGATTATGGGGTTCGCTGTCAACATGCGAACAATCTCATACATAGGTGGAAAGCAAGATTCCACAAGTTTAGCAAATCGTTTGAAGGTCTTCTTGGGGGAGGGGAGAGCCAAAGGTATTCTGATTCTCATGTGCTTCTCCTTTAACAGAATTCCAATTTCAGAGGAAATGAATATCACAATCACAATCACAATCACAATGTCAATTTCAATTTCAATTTGATCCAATGGATGGTGCGATGCAACTATTATATGCGTATGCCTCCAAATCAACGTATTTAATTTTCATGATGCAGTAGTAATAGGATGAAGTTTCAAATTGTTTGCACCAATAACAAAAGAAAGGAACTATGCTCGTTATCTTAAATCTTAAATTCAAATTATTTTCATGATGTAGTATTAAATTATTTTAATTATAATTGTATTAATATTAAATAATAATTAAAATATTATTTTATTATAATTAATTGTTAATTATGTATCATTATAAGTATTATGAAATTTTATACGAATCATATATAATGATTTATATTTGGAGTTTTTCTTCTGTGATGATATTATATATTTTTATTGAGTCATTAAAGCTCATTAATTTTATGTACAATAGAATTAGTAGCATTCTATGAAGTTAGTGGTAAAATCCTTAATACCCTAAACCCTAAAATCCTTAATACCTTTTAACTTAATATATAATTGCACATACGGATAAATTTATAAATAACTGATTTTTATCCTTTTGAGTTTATAAATATGCAGTTATATATGATAGCATAATTGTTTCTCACAATAATATTATAAAATTGTTGAATTTTATCCTTTTGAGTTTATAAATATGCAGTTATATATGATAGCATAATTGTTTCTCATAATAATATTATAAAATTGTTGAATTCTACGATCAATTTATTAGTTGCTCATTGTAATATTATAGTTCACAATTTTATTCTAATTTATAATTTATAGTGGGAAAATTTCATGTCTTATTAATTTTAAAGATCTATTTTGAGATAGATATGAAATTATTTTATAAATTTTTTATTTACTAACATATAAGCAATAACATTGTTCTCAAATATAATTGTTGATAATTTGCATAATTATACACTTACTTATCGTGAACATAATTATACTGATTTTTTGAAATTAAATTATTAGTTTTTTAATTATATTTTATATTATATTAATAATAGTTACATCCTATCGGTGTATTATTATTTACATAATTTGTTATTACATAATATGCTTATTTAATGATTTATATATATTGTTGTTGCCTTGTGGTATTGTTATGAGTTGTTTCTTTTGTGAGCTTACTTTTCTTTTTCTTATAGATAGGATTCACTTGCATGAGAGTGGGGGTACTTGCCCCCACTATCATTTTATACATACATATTTTTTATATTAAAAAAATATATATTTTAAAAAGTAAAAATTATATTTTAATAAAATAAATATATATATTTAAATTATCTTATGTATAAAATATAAATTTGAAAGAAATATTTATTTATTTGATATTTGTCAAACTTTCGAAGGAGATTAGTTCTCATATATGATAAAAAAATATTCTTTAGTAATAAAT